TTGTCTCTCTCCAACTTGTCCTTCTGGCTGAGATTCTGGACTCAGATCACTTGCACTGAAATGTCTGATATGACTGCCAGGACTTCCTTTCCTGTGGCCCAGCCTTGGAGGATCCTCAGGAGACTTAAGAGATGACAGAGAATATTCTGTTTCCAGAATCTTGGAAATTTTCATTTTTATTGATTTCGTGTTGTTTAGTTGGACACTAGGGTCTTTAGAATAATTCCAAAAAATGGACCTTCTGAGCAAGGCGTACACAAGAACGAGAAAAATGCTCCCTATGATTTATTATTATCATTATTACTAATGTTTGTTGTTCTTATTCTTAGCAAGTATTCTTATGATTATGATCATAACAGCAAGCATTTACTGTGAGTCAGGCACTATGCCGAGAGCCGAGCAGGCATTTATACATTCGTTCTTTACAACAGCCTTATAAGGGGGTACTGGCATCATGCCATTTACAGATGGTGAAAATGACGCTCAGCCTGCTACTGGCCCCATAACAAGGTGGGAGAGAAGGGGCCACAGTCAGAGAAGAGAAAGAAGCCCCCTCTGATGCTGTCTTTCTCTTCTGGAAGGTGTGTGCCCGGGGAGCATGGCTCCTGTCTTCTCGTGGAGGGTCCCTTGCATCAGGATGTGAAGCCATGGCATGGAAGGACTCAGGCTGAGCTGGTCATCTTGGTGCCACGGCACCACTTGGGTCCTGAGCCTCAGGTCTAGCATTAGGAGATTACCAAGGTTACATTGCTTTTTGTTATATCCTTTACCCTAAGGATAAGGCGTAAAGATAATCATACTCTTCAGCCCAGGGCACATCATCATTGTTGATTGATTCATTCGTTTTAGTTCTTTCATTTGATCCTTATTTTCCATTTCCATTCCTCTCCTCCCATAGGCAGCTCTTCTCATTGTTCAATGTGACCTTTTTGTTGTCCATATGCATCTATGTTTTTAAAAATTTTTTTTTATTAATTTCAGAGAGGAACGAAGAGGGAGAGAGAGATAGAGACATCAATGATGAGAGAGTATCATTGATTGGCTGCCTCCTGCACACTCCCCACTGGGGATCGAGTCCACAACCTGGGCATGTGCCCTTGACCGGAATCGAACCTGGGATCCTTTAGTCCGCAGGTCGACGCTCTATCCACTGAGCCAAACCGGGCATACGTCTATGTTTAATTTCTGTACATCACAGCGTCTTATCTAACTCCCTGAAAATTGCTTTTCTTTTCTTTTTTTTTAAACTTGGGATCATATTTTTAAGATCCATCCATGTTGATGGATGTATACATACACTGAGTCCATTTAATCAAAAAACTGGTCAGTTCCCATGGGGAGGGTGAAAAGAAATTAGAGGGCATGAGGATTATTTCATTGATAAGTCAATGCAGGAGTTCGAGAGAACAAAGAAGAAAGTTCTACCAAGTGGAGCAGCTCTGTGCCTTCTCTCCAGCTACACACCAACCTAGAAACCCACAGACACCATATTCAACAACATCAACCAGAAAAAGGAGAGGAAGGAAGCAAGGGGTGAAGGTCAAGCACAGTGGACATTCACCCAGTCACTTCTGCTCTGACAAACCTACCTCTTCAAGGATGTCTATGGTGACGGGCCTCACACAGCCCCATGAAGGTTGCATGCAACATTGTCGGGAAGGCACTTGTGGCTCTGTGGCTGCCGGCCACCTCCCCAGCGAGTCAGAGGAGAGTTCTCCGCACACCCTGGGCATAGAGACTTGGCCTGAGGGGCTGCCAAGGCCGGGAGATGGGGTTCATCAGATGTCACCCAGCCTTTTGGCAGGTCTTCTTGCCTTCTCTACATCCACACAGAACCAGAGGAATGGCTGGCTTTTTAATAAATCAAAACCAGTTTCATTCTTTAAATTGAAATTTCACAGGTCATCAGCCTACCCCATGGCCTGCTGCCCTCAGAGACGATGGAAAAATAATTGGAATCATATGAGCCAGTTCGATTAGAAAAGTGAATGTGGTTTGGAGTGAAGGCCTGGATTCCCTGCCCTTGGTGACTAACTTGACACCCCCCACCCCCACGCCTTCCCAAAGCCTAAACTCTTTAGAGATAAAGCTGCCTTCGTGCCCAGGAACATTATTCCAATCTAAGAGGCAAGAGGTTGCCTGCCTCCCCAGGGACCAGGACAGATGAAATGTGAAAAAAAAATCAGCCACATAAAGGAGTTGTTTCCATACCTTCGACAGGTGGCTGCCTCCTGCTCTCTACCCCCACCTCAACCCCAGAAGTGACCAGTTGTTTGGGTGGGCTGTAGACACAACTGTAGACAATACAATTCCATTAATGACCCCAAGGATCAGAGTTGGTCATGATAAACGACTTCGTGTTTACAAAGTAGCTCCTGGAATGATGATAAAGGAAAAGTGGGAGAGATTGTAAAGGGTTTCTTAAGTTTCTCTGGACATTTTCTGGGAGATCTGATGCATGGACCCTAATTCAGCAGCAACTGTGTCCAATCAGAGCAGGGTATGGGGAGCTGTTAGTTTGCTACGTCCCACTTAGGTAGGCAGAATCCCAGAAATCCTCTCTTTGACTAGATCCTACACGCTCTTCTTGGATGTCCTAAGCTAACACACAAAGAAATGCATGCCAGTAGCGGATAATGAAATGAACATGTCTCCTTTTGTGAAGATCTGCTTTGGAAGTTGAATGACCCTTTAACTTGAGTGGCCTTTTCTAAGTTCTAAGATATTCTTCTCTCTCACGAGACTCAGCTACTCACAAATCCCCCCACTTTCTCGAAACCTAGGAACCCATCCATGCGGTCCTGAGGGCAACCTTCCTTCACTGACAAGAAGAGGTTCTCCTGAGACTCGGCATCTGACCACACAAAAAAACAACTTGCCTTCAAAACAAACACCTCAAGTCAAGCATCTTCTCTGAGCACCTTGAGGACCTGAAATCAATTGGTGAGTAGTCACAAAAATTGCCTCCTGAACTTTCCTGATAATCTCTTATGACCCCACAAGCAATTCCCAGGACCGTACTGAATGCAGGCCAGCAATGACCTCTAACAACATGGACCTTAACAGCCATGTTTCTCAGAGCCATGAGTGGCTTACACCAGATGTGCATGCAAAACAGAGGTGGTAAAATGCTGAAGGGTCTTTTTTTTTTAATAGCTCTTGTTAAACATGTTTTCCCCAAGACCTGGAGCTATCTATTGCTTTTTTTTCTTTTTCTTTTTTCTTAGGCTTAGTGAGGTGAACTGTATTTCCCCCATAGACCTTCCCTGCAAATTGCTTTTCAATAATCCCAACACTACCTGATGGCAGCCGTATTCTACATGACAATGCAGCTCACAAATGCATCACCTGCAATTACAACTCTAGCTTTGATGTAAGACCAATTTAAAGATAGAGAATCTGGGTCTAATTAAGGCAGCTCCAGCTCAGACTGATAAGGGCCACCTTCATTGCAGCTCGCATGAGCTGAAAGCTTCCCAAACACTCAGGACTCGGTTGGGAATATATCCCCAGCATTTCAAAGCACATTTCATTGTAAAACAGGATTCTGGCCTCTACATTGACTTCCATGACTCATTAGCAATTTTCCCTTTCTACATTTGGTCCATGCAAAGTGCATTTTCCTAAATGGGCAGAAGGCCTGATTTTAGAGGGTTCTTGTAGGATCCTAATCTGTCAGCAGCTACCAGTTCAAACCCCCCACCCCTCCCCAGCAGAACAATCAGCCAGGAGCCCTCCCTGTAGAAACATTCTCTGTGTTGGAAAGAGACAATGACATAGGGAGGTCCCATATTGGAAGATGCTTGCTCTGGGTCAATCCAGTGATGTCACCTCTGCTTAAACTCTCCAGTGGCTTCCCACTGCTTCAGAGTAAAATCCCATATCCTTGCCATGGCCATCAAGACATTGAAGGGCTTGGACCTCATCAGGGTGTTCTGCCTTATGTCAGCCCAAAGGCCTTACTTCTGTTCCTTGACCCCATGGGATTGTTTGTATTTGCTGTTCTTTCTGCCTGGAATCTTGTTCTCTCTGTTCTTTGCTAGCTGGTGCCTTCTCATTATCTCAGACCCAGTATCACCTTCTAGGACAGATCTCTCCCTCCCACTGTATTTACACATCCCTCCCAAGTTCCATCCCTCCCCAATTTCTTCCAGTTTAATTCCCTGGGGCCATCTTGTCATTCACATTTCCAATTTGGGAGAGTTACTCTCTCTAAGTAGAGCTCCATGGGAAGTTTCCCGATACCTAGTGCAGCATTAGTAGGCACTCAATAAAAAAAAATGAATGAATGGAAAAAAGAGCAATGGCCCCAAGTTAATGGGCTGATATTTTTATGCAGAGCTACGATTCCCAGAGTCGCACAGAGTGTAGGAGGTAGGAAGGAGGGAGCTCAGATGCCCCTGGCCATGCTAAATCCTCCTATCCCAGGTCATAAGTGATTGTTCTCCTGCTAGGACGCCTCCAGTGACATATAGTCTCATCGGCTATGAGAGCCCATTTTCTGCAAAGCTGTTTTGAATCCCCATGAAAAGAACTCTAGGAGAGACATTTCTCCAAAGCGCTCTTAGCAGTGGTTACTTACCTTAACCAACCCTCCCTGGCAGTGAGCAGGATACAGGGACGGGCTCCTTCTACTCAAAGGGTCTTGAGGTCAAATTTAGAGGCATAATGAAGAAGCTGATGCTGGTGACCATATCTGAAATTTATTGAGTACATACCACGTGACATGTGCTGTGTCAAATGCTGTACATGCCTTACGTCATTTAGTCCTCACAACAACCCTAAGAGGTACTAGTAGGTACCTAGGAGGTTGTATTCCCATTTTACAGACGGGGAAATGACGCTCAGAGAGGTTAAGTAACTTGTCCTGAGTCACACAGCTAGCTCTTTGGTAGTCCAAGTCTAGTTCTACTTCTACCTTCTGATTCACTCATCCCTATTTTGTCTCATTTTTAGTCTGAAGATCGCAGAAGCCAGGCCTGGATGTCCATGGTTGTCAGAAGGAAGATTCCAGAGCCGAAGTATATGTTTCTGCTAATCTGTGAGCATATAATTAATTCGCAGGCATGAGGCAGTTTGGTGCCCTTCCCTACCAGCGCTGTACACACTAATGAACTAAGTCTGAGAGTTGAGGCAATGATTATGAAGAGGCGGCTGGGTGGCTGGGCCTGAGGAGCCCGTGGCTGACCCCTGCAGGCCCGCTGTGCAAATGATTTCACACTTAGGCGGCCCAATCAATTGGGTGTTTCTCTGCTTAAAAAAATCACTGGGATAAAATGCTTCCTTCTCTATAGTCACGGCATGTTCTAGGCCCTTCAGGGGGCCTTTGAAAGGGCTGGTTTTGTATTTAAGAGTAAAGCGTTGTTATCAAGAATTTTTAATATATTCTCCAGCCATTGAGAGATGACACTCTTCTCAGAAGCTCCTGAAAGAGATGCCTCTGAAGGGATTTAGAGGCGCCCCAGGGAGGAGGGAGCGGGGTTCAGGCTCTTGGCTGAGGAGAGGCAACTCTGGGATAGGGGAGGGGGGTGATGTCAGAGGTTGGAGGGATGCCTGGTTTCAGGGAAGTAGGAGGGGGCAGAGCACAGTGCAAATGGCTCCCAGGGGAGTTCGGGGGGTCCCCAAACAGGAAGCCCAGCTGATGGAAACTGTTGTCAACTGGGGAGACATGTGGTGGGTGCTTCTTCCATTCCGCTCTGGCACCTCAGTGCTTTGTCTTAGGGTCTGCAGGGCCACCAAGGCCCAGTTCTCCCTGAAGCACCTTCTTCATGGACTCGAAGGGAAGGAGCCAAAGTGACTGATTCTGCCACGTTGTTGCCCCTCGGCGAGGGCAGTGGGGAGCACGGGGTGGGGAGATCTGGAGAACCCAGGGCCTTCGTAGGAAACGTCCGCATGTTTTCCCCCAGGGCCGTGGTCGGCAAAACTGCGGCTCTTTGGCCCCTTGAGTGTGGCTCTTCCTAAGCCTTAGGAGTACCCTAATTAAGTTAATAACAATGTACCTACCTATATAGTTTAAGTTTAAAAAATTTGGCTCTCAAAAGAAATTTCAATCGTTGTACTGTTGATATTTGGCTCTGTTGACTAATGAGTTTGCCGACCACTGCCCCAGGGGAACTCAGAGGCTGACCCACCTGTGCATGGCCAGAAAAACCAAGTTGGGCAAATAGCCAGTCAATTAATGGTGAAGACCCCGTTAAAATACTTGTTTTCCTAGAGATTCTAATCAGTTCAGTCAAGGTGATTGATTCTCCTTCCCTAACGGGCTATGGAAAGCAGCATCCTATCTGTGTGGTGTCTGTGTTTCTGGAAGTTCCCCCAGCCATTGTCTGCAGGGGAAGCACTGCATTTCTCCATATTGAAAGCAAAGGCAGCTGTCATTTCTTTCTTTTTTAGCAGAAAAACTTAGAAAAGAGATGGGTAGAGCCCATCCGAGTGTCACCGCCCTCCTCCTCTCTTCAAACTCTCTCCACGCCAGGAAGGAAGCGTGGGGAACCACCCCGTTGCTCCGCACGCTCAGAGCAGGTAATGTGATTGCACATCTCACGCAGTGATCTGAACCCAGAATTATAGTTTCTGATCTTAAGGTCCATTCCTGAATTGACTGTAATCTTTATTTAGAGGAAAACAGTGGTAATTTTATATTTCAATTGAGTTTTTTGAAGAAAAATATAACTCACAATAGTTTGAAGAGATGATAAAAACGTTAAAAAGGCAACGATTCAACTACTTAGTGAATTTTCCAAGTGAACAGCTTATGCACCTGTATGAAAAATATTTAATAACACACACAGGTGAATAATTACAGGTAAATAAATAAGACAGGAAGTAGATACAATCATCCCAAATACGGAGGGCACTGTGTTGGCACGGGCCCGGTGTTGTGCCTTCCCCTACAAAGCAAAACAAGCGAGACAACTATCTGTGTGTGCAAATCCCTCCCGGATAATCAGATAATTGGAGCTGCAAGTGCATTTTCGTAAATGGGCAGAGGGCCTGGTTTTAGAGGGTTGTTGTAGGATCGTGGTCTGCCAGCAGCTGCCTGGCTCGCAGTTAGACCCCCTGGCAAAACAATCAGCCGGGAGCCCTTCCTGGCAGGGCGGGGGCGGCGGGAGCTGGCCTCAGAAGGTTATTGATGTCATCTGTCTTCTGCACATTGGAAATCTCTTCAAAATGTCTAATGCTTCCTTCCAGGATCGTTAGCTGAGTCTTCAGGAATATTCAATATTTTCAAGGTAGGAGAGAAAAGAGCCAAGTCAATGCCATTGTCCCAGCCTCTTTTCATATGGAAACCTTTCCAATACCTAACCACGGTGTAAATTACCCCACCCCAGCCAGGGCCCTCCCCCAGCATGAAGAATGGAGCCTGCACGGCCGGCCTGATGTTCACAACCTGCTCTACACATGCTTCCCTCTGCCCGGGGAGGGCGTGCTGTGCTGAGGGCAACAGGACACAGCGCAGGTCCAGTGTGTCTCCCCAGAAGGACAGGGGGCACACAGCATGCTTGCCTGATGTGCAGTGTTGTTCAACTCCTAAGCTCCACGCTGGGCGAAAGTTCATTGTATGGGTGACACTCAACACCAGGTATGTACCTTGAGAACTTGAAAACACCCAGGTGCCACCTGTCCTCACCCTAAAATGGCCCTCCATGGTGTGATAGCTGCTCTACCCCAAGCTCACTGACGGTGCATGAGTCTGGGCCTCAGTTTCTTCATCTCCCAAGCACATTTAGGTAAAAGAGTTTCCAAGGTGACCCCGCAATTTCCCTTCTAGCAGACTATATTAGTTTCTGGTGGCTGCTATAACAAATGACCACAAAGTGGGTGGCTTAAAACAACAGGCATTTGTTTGCTCACAATCCTGGAAGCCAAAAATCAAGGTGCTGGCAGGGCCGTGCTCCCTCTGATGGCATCAGGTGAGAGTCTCCACCTGCCCCTTTCTAGCTGCTGGCAGTTGCCGAATCCTTGGCCTCCCTGGGCTCCTACCTGCATCACGCCAACCTCTGCCTCTGTCCTAACATGCTCTTCCCTGTGTGTCAGTGACTTGGTCCAAATTTCCTCTTCTTTTAAGGCCAATTATTGGATTAGAGTCACCCTGACCCAGTGGGACCTCATCTTAACTTGATTATATCTGAAAAGGCCCTGTTTCCAAATAATGTCACCTCCAGGGTTGTTAGAGGTTAGGGCGTCAAGATACCTTTTTTGAGGGGATACTATTCAACCCAGTGCAGAGACTGTACATTTTCCTTCCATTGCATTGAATTGTGGATTTTGGAGCAGAATTTGGCGCTTGTGTTGATTTCAAGGTGACCACAAGCACTGTTAAACTTGTGCATTTTGTCTTTCAGGCCAAGGGGAACATTAAGCCATCCCTGCAGGGATTCAGGACTTCTACCAAAATCAGAGGGTGACCTTGGACAAAATTTCCACCATTCTAGAATCTTCTTCAGCCCTCTACTTGACAAGGTGAGGAGTGACTCATGTTTGCATAGCTCCGCTGGGAGAGGCAGGGTCACTTGGGGCTCAGGCACTCTGCTGGCCAATCCTGCCTGTGGCACCTTGAGCACATGGCTTCCTCCCATAGCACTGGGGATGATGAAGATAAAATAGTGCTTGTCTCATAGCGTTACAGTAAGGACTGAATGAGGTCTTAAGCAACAAATACTGTTGCGTTGTGCCTGGAACTCAGTAAGGGTTGATAAAGTTTAATAATAAACCTCTGCTTATATCGGAGGTTATGTTGGGTCTGGGAGCGTGGCTCAGTAGATTTCTGCAAAGTTGGATTATTGTTATGACCCCAAGACACATCTAAGAAATTGGATAGGCTCTGCTGCCCATAAAAATTCTGAACACTCAATGACACTTAATGAGCACCTAGCATGGGTCATAGCTGGTGTTGAGTGCTTTGCATTCCTCATCTCTGTACACAAGGAACCTAAAAGGTAGGTCCTAGTTTTATCCCCATT